TTTTTTTTTTTTTTTTTTTTTTTTAATTTTAATAGGCGGGGAATATCTTTTAAAGACTTCATCTTAGGCAGCTAGGAGCCCAAGATGGGTGTGTGGGATTTCCACCCACTAAAAACCCTTCCGCTTTGGGTGAGCGAATTGAAAAAAAAAGCACTGAATGAGTGTTGTTATGAATCCCTTGGTAAAAATTGGCAGTAGGATCTGTGTTCCAAAATACTATAGAACTCTAGACGGCTGTAAGTTTTCTTATAGCTTCTGTAGCCGACTATGCAATATCGTACAGCCTTTTATAGCCCGTGGCAGAAAAGCTACAGCCTGGCAGTATACTGCACAGCCCGGCGATAGGAACCATAGCCTGGCTGTATAATTTTTTATTGCTTCGTGTAGCCTGGCTGTGTGATTTTCTTCGCTCTCTACAGCCAGTTACATAATTTCCTATCGCCTCCTATATCCGGCTATAAGAATTCGTATGGTATTTTGAATAACGCAGCTTCTATTGATAATTTTTACCAGAGATAGCTTTTCCTCTGTAACATTTTCCATAAATCCGCTCCAACTCGGTAAATTCGGTATTTTAATCGAATGTCCATAAATCCACAACAAATCCAGCGTTAGGATTTCATAACGATCAGGCAATTTATTAACAGTCTGCAAAATGAAGAATTCTGATGTCTTTCATTCCATCGTGGCGTTTCTTTTCAAAAATTTCAACGGGTGTTACTCCGGAGGCCCGAGCTATTTTACCTGCGGATTTTGAGATAAATTACGAGGTATAACTTGATCAGGGTGAACTGATGATTGTGGTGTGATACACATTACTCCGCCCATAGCATGGAAGGTGTTCATTCCATCAAGCGTCTGACTATTAAAATCCGCATTATCGAATATGAACTGAAAGAAACGTCGAAATTGATTTTTAAGGGGCCATGCAGAACAGCAGCGGTTTCAAAATTCAAAATTTCATGGTACGGTGCAACGTAGTCGAGAGGATTCAATACAGCCCACTCAGCATAGAACCTTAATACAATCTTAGTATAATATTGCACATCTTACACATCAGCATTGCAGCCATATTATATCCATCTTAGTTTGATTGCATCAATGTTGATGTGCTACTGCCAGGGACTTGCCTGAACATTGCAAAAACATTGATAGTAAGGTTGAAGTAACATTACAATAATCTTACATAATTTTGATATGCCCCCGTCAAGATTGTTATCAGGTTGACACTTCTTGACATCTCCTTGATTGCCAGTCTATCAAGCTTACATCAATATTGATATTGTCAGTCTTATCCTGACAATACTGATTTAACATTCCATCCATATTAGTAACATTACATCAACATATGTCAACAAATAATAACATTGCTTTAAGATATCATGCTGAGAGGGGCAGTCAATTTTTTCGATCCGAATTTTTTGCACACATACACTGAAACTCCAATTTGGATGGGTGAATTATATGACCGAGGTCTGACTGCTGAAATTGCAGAGTGAGAAATCGCGTTGACTTTTTTTGGAACTTCGATTTACTCTTAACTTTTTTGTTATTTAGAATAACAGTATCAAGAAGGAGCTTCAGAGACTCTGGAATGTCTGATTCTGCGTTCTCAAAAAAATAACCAAACCAAACCAATCAGTGATATCTTTTCACGGTTTTGGTGATAAGATTCTCAACGAAGCTTGGTAAAATCAGGTTTTAAGTAACAAAAACGCTGAAAGGCTACGTATCGTGGAAACTGCTGCAAAAATAAATCTCGAGGATATCGGAACGAAGGTTTACGACACATACAACTATCCTGCATCTGATGATTTTTTTAAGAACGCAGAATCAGACATTCCAGATTCTCTGAAGCTCCTACTTCATACTATTATTCTAAATAACAAAAAAGTTTAGAGCAAACCGAAGTTCCAAAAAAAAAAGTCAACGCGATTTCTCACTCTGTAATTTCAGCAGTCAGTATAACACCGAATTTCCCGGGTTGGAGCGGATTTACGGAAAATGTTACAGAGAAACAGCTATTCAAGACAACATTCATTCAGTGCTTTTTTTTTCAAATTTTTAGTGGGTGAAAATCCCACACACCCATCTGGGGCTCCTAGCTGCCTAAGATGAAGTCTTTAAAAGATATTCCCCGCCTATTAAAATTAAAAAAAAAAAAAAAAAAAAATCTTGCTTTCAGAATCGGTTCGGTGGCTCTTATATGGCTAATAAGGGTTTGGGGTGGACGGGGGGAGGGGTAGGTGAGGGGGGTCATAACGGGGTTAAGGAAGGTGATGGGAGTTGGAAAACCAAGTGGTCCATGAGGGTTTTGCATACATTTTCGACATCTGTAATCAGTTTGATTTAATTGAAAAAAGTGCACATTGAATGAGGGGCGTGGTGGGAGGGGCGGGGGTGGTTGATTTTTTCATGGCGGAGGGTCACTGGTACCAAAGGGGACATATGCAAACCATTTTCGGAATTTTTGTTTCACTTCCAACGGCGTTACAGCGTTTTTACGCAGCAAATTTGACGAAAAACTCATCAACCCGTAAAACCATCCCTAACGCGATCGCCCATAACTTTTACCCCAATTGTTCGATTTCAAAAATCTAAAAGTCGTTTGATAGGAAATTTTACGTACTTTTAAAGTGAAGAACTCATTTTGTCAAAAACCCCCAAATAAGTGAGATTTTCGGGGATTTGGGGGAAAAAACGTAATTTTCCGCCATTTTTTCAAGATGGTGGCCATTTCCGGGCAAAATTTTTGTTGGGAAGCATCAGATTCGGACTCAGCGACCAAAATTACTTGGGAAACCGTCTTACTTTTTTCTCCTCAGATTTTCGCAAAATAAAATGCCAGATTGACTGGACTAATAATATTCAAACTGGCCACCATGCCCAGACTCGAGGGGTCCTTTATTGCTTCTAAGAATTCACAATTTACTCAAGATCAGTCACAGATTTGCCAAATTGTCAAAGAACTAATAATATTTAACCCGTTTACATTGGATTCCATCGGGTTTGGGCCTCCAAACCCCTGAGAAACACTGTACTTTCTTTCAAAATTGTAAATAATAAAACTCCTAATAATTTAAAAAAATCAAATGAGCATTGCTAAAACCCTGTGACTGATGCCGCTCCTAGGTTCCATAATTCTTCTTCATCACTTTTAATCACATCATCCATCAAGTTCGGAATTGCCTTTGAAGCTGCGCCACTCCCATACAAGCAAAAAATTTCATTTTCTGCAAATTCCATTTTGGGGGCGTTTGCATTAGATGATTGCTCCAAGTGCCTGTTGATGGAGAAACTGAAGAAGTTGGCTTAGTCTTTTCATTTTAATAAATAAAACCGAAAATCGATTATTGAAACCCCGATTTCATCTCCCCCCTCCCACCCCATCACCAATTCAAGATGGCGCCCACAATGTCGATGTCGGGGTGTAAAAATTTCCTGTTGCAAACTTTTGCTAGAGCAAAAATAAGAGTTGTTCCTTTTAGGTAATGTCTCTAAAATCACAATGGCAAACGATGGTCATCGGCAAACTCTAAAACGCACTCCTAACTTCACAATCTGCGTAAGAAATTTCCTTTGTTTTAAGCTTCTCGCTCCTAAAAGGATACTACGGCACAGGCGAACATTTTGTTAGGGGAGTCGTTCCATTCATTTCCTGCTCAACATGGCCTACGCTTCTGCGCGCAAGTTGAGGAGAGCACGAGGTCAATCAAGACGGATATCTATCAACGCGAAAAAAATGTGAATGTAAACAGGCTGATTGTTATCAGGTGGTTAGAATTATCGTCCCGTCACATGTATTTTGGTGGATTGGCGTCGGCCATGTTGAATATTGCGTAGTATCCTTGTGAGCAGGGGTCAGGGGTCGAGAGGGAATTGAAATTAATTTGATCGCCCTCCGAGTTCGCGAACGACCAAGCGTCGCTTTTCGATCGCGATATTCGATCAAGAGGCCTGAGCAGGTAAAAGAATTTCGGATCCCGAATCCCGAACTCAGAGGCGAATGG